CATCTTTATCCCCTAGAATGGGTTGATATTAAAAAAATGCGGAGATTTAAATGAAATTTGTTATGTCGATAGATTTGCCTAAGGCCAACTTGACCGTATACGAAGATGATGTCGTCCGATCCGACCAAATTTGGTGGGTAGGCTATGTGAGCGACGGTGCACACGGTCCCATCCTCCAAGGTTGGGTACGACGTTTCTTTTACATCTTTATCAGGGTGGGACTAACGATTTAATATTGAAGAAAAATGTGGGTCGATTTCGGCATAATTGGGGACGGGCTACAGGATGACTAGCCTAACCAACCGATGCCTCTAAATTGACGAAATCATCAAGATTTTTCTTAACTATAATAAACTAGGCACGAATAGAGGTACCCGAATAGAGTCCTCAGACAAACAGACGGGCAAACGGACAGACAGACAAACTGAAGTAAGAAGAAATTTTACCTCAAATATGCTCACATGGTGCACACACCATTTTTGAAATGAAACTTCTTTACGCGCTGTACGGGAGTAAAATTTACTCAGAATTATAATTTACAGTTAGTAAGCATTTTCATTGGAGGACACTGCCATATTTATTTCAAACAAATAATCAACGAGAATATTCGTATAATTTAATAATATTATTGTAAATCACAATAATGTAAATTATGTAATAATCAAATAATGAATTGTTTGTAATTGAACTGTTATTTCTGTATTATTAATCCGGTAAATGATGGAGATAAACAACTGCGATTGATTAAAATTTTATTTTAAGATGAAACTTTTGTTAACAACGTTCTGAGAATTCGAATAATGAATTGAATAATGACAAGACAAGTGACATATGTCTAAACACGACAGCAATTTTGTGTAACGATTTGGTTATGTAAAATTTAGAGTGACAATTTTGATTATGCAAAAGAAATACTGGTTGCCTAACGATTAAAATTAATTTAAAAATAAATCATTTAAAATCACATTTTAATTCACAAAACATTTAAACGAAAACAGATCCCAGACAACACAAAAGAAATTGTTGGTCAGTAGCAGTTAGTAGTAGTCAAAAATATAGATTGCTGCCAGGGCTATCCGGCCCGGTGATAGAATTATCGTTTTTTTTTAAACATAAAATTAGACTAGTTTACGATTTTATATATATACTCTATCATTTTTTTGGAGTTTATAAGAAGCATTCATAACATTTTTTATGAATGCTTATCCTGCGATAATATCCTTCAAATCCTTCAATTTTATAGCTGTTAGTAAGAAATTTTACTTCAAGAATGCGCATATAGTGCACATATAATTTTTTTTATATTATTTTCAAGGTAAAATAACTCAGCTATTTTGGACATAAAACAGCAAAGACAAAATATTATATTTCTTTTGTCTAGATCTACCGGCTCTAAAAATGTTTACACTTATTTCAGACTTGCCCTATATAAAACATTAAATAAAAATAGTGTCTTTACAATTTAATGACATAGATACTATAATACTAATTAAATATTATTTTCGTTAATAACTTTAAAAAAATGACAATTTCCCATTTAGATCAGGTTTGTACACCTATCTTGTGTAATTTTTATTTACAGGGTAAGATTTAGCCTACGAATTGTCTGAATGTTCAATCCTGATGTTAAGGATTTTTAATACAATCCATCTGGCAATACTGCCACCAGCCGACAATATAAATTAACATCGATTGTATTACGAAACTTTGCCTTTTAACCTTTATTTCTTTTACTTTTTTAAAGCGGAAGGAAAAAAAACGAAGAAAAGGTTACATTTTTGACCACTTAAAACTTTAATTTATTTTGCTCCCTTTCATTATTACGAAACTGGCTTTATATTCTAATGAATAAGAAGAAAAGGATCAAAAGAAAACTTTAATAAAGTAGGGAGGAAAGGCTAAAAGGCATTTTATATCCAATTTTTTAACGTCCGCTCGCTGATATACACTGTATGTACAGTAAGTTAATGAAGTTCTTTTGTGAATATAAATGCGGCGTAAGAAACCGAAAAGGAAGATAAACGTACTTATTTGGATTTAGTTTGCATATAAATGGGTTAGTTAATATTTAGTTAATAAATGGTTCGAGATTTTTAACGATTTTGCAAATATCCAAGGTATTATTACATATTTAACAGATTTATGTAGCGTGTAGAATGTAGAATGAGTGGGAGGGGGAGTTAATCACTGCGACCTTAAAGATCTATTGTGTCTCTCTTCCTTGAGTTATAACTCATCATACAGTCTATAACCAATCATACATGTTGTAGGGGAGTATATGGTATTCCCCATGCTCCTATGAAAACAGATGTTCCTCTTCCGAAGGTATTCAAAATTCCACGGTTGGGGTTGTGCCCTTCACAGTCGAGCTTCGGCGAGGTACCTGTGAGGTGGAAGCTGGAGGGTCTGTCTCCATTTTCTCCACCTCTTTAACTTGGTCTCTCCTTAGACCTGATACCGGTATTGTCTAAATCTATAATAAGGAATATATTCCTCTTTCTCTATTGCCTTCTTGGATTTGAAGTGAATAATTCCTATTGTGAGGACCTGACCATGACCTCACTCAAATTATTGACTCGCCAACTCGATAACAGATTTATAACGTATAATCCAAAAAAAACGGCATCTAGTTGGCTGTGAAATGAAGATCGTTGACATTATCTTCTTTACTTCAAAGCCAACGCTGATGCAGTTTTTTTTCCAATCATAGTGTATTCCGTAGTGATGTTAACAGAACCTGGTTTCATTGGGACGTAAAAAAAATTACGTATAAAACGACAGCCATCTTTACTTCAAAGCCAATGCTAATGCAGTTTTTTTTCTATCATACCGTATTTCGTAATGATGTTAACAGGTTTCATTGGAACTGGATATCCAAACAAATCAAGAATTTTTAGTCTACAGCTCCTCTATACAATACAGGGTGGTCAGAATTGTATTCCGAAAACTTCGGCAGCATATTCTGCAGATAAAAATAAGTAAAAAGTTCGTATAAATGTAAAACCAAACCAAACCTAAAAGGCTTAGTTTCGGAAATACAGGGTGTAGAAGTTTTATTTTTCTTTCGATTTTTTCTAAATAATTTATGAAGTAACGTCAATATTTGAATGAAAATTGGTGTCTAGGAGTTTTTTGATATGAGAAATTTGATTTTGATATTAGTAGCACTCCTACTTGTAGAGGGCGCCACCTACATATTTTTTAACTGGTTTGAAGAGTAATAACTTTTTGTTCATACCTGTATAAACCTACTGAGTGAAAAAATATACATTTACAACGTTTTTTACGTAAAAAAGTCTCTTGGTAAAAATCGTTACGTGTAATGGTTTTCGAGATATTTGGAATCGAATTTATCAATACCTGTCATCATTGACATAAATTAAACATGTTAACTAAATGGTTATTCGACTGAAATCATAAATATGAAATGTTTTTGTGCCAAAAGTTCAACAGAAACTATTTAATCATCATTTTTTCGAAGAAAAATTTATGATTAATTTAAAAAAATAAAAAGTTCCCAAATTTATCATTTTAGTCAAATAACTATCTACTTAACATGCTTATTTTTTGTCAATAATGACATGTATTGACTGTTCCCATTCTAAATATCTTGAGAACGGTTACTCGTAGCAATTTTTACCAAGAGACATTTTTTAAGTAAAAAATCACGGAAATGTATATTTTTTCACTCAGTAGTTTTAAACAGGTACGGACGAAAAGTTATTTCTCTTCAAAACAGTAAAAATACGTGTAGGTGGCGCCCCCTACAAATAGGAGTCATATTGACATCAAAATCAAATTTCTCATGTCAAAAAACTCCCAGACACCATTTTCATCCAAATATTGATGTTGCTTCACAAAATATTTGGAAAAATTCGAAATAAAAATTAAACTTCTACACCTTGTATCTCCGAAACTAAGCATTTTAGGACATACATTTATACGAACTTTTTTTACATATTTTTATCTGTAGGATATGCTGCCGAAGTTTCCGGAATACAATTCGGACCACCTTGTATATTCGCTAAGTCATCATACAGTCTCAGGGCTTTGACAAAAGCCAGTATCTGAGACGGTTTTACAGGGATTACATCTTCCTTCGGGGGAATTTGTTTAAGGACACTTTCATAATTTTTAATATGGTATCGTCAAAAAATAGTATTATGGCATTTTATTGAGAGGGCCTTCCTTAAAAGATACCCAAATCGTATTTTTAATCATATCTAATTTTTTTCAAATGGAACGAGGGTGGCTCATTAGCATATTTGGTAAAGCATTCTTTTACAAATAATTTGGTACCAAACACTTGATATTTCGAGTCAAATTGTTGTTATATTGGCCATGACACTCTAAAATAAGTTCTTATTATAGGATACACGACGCACTATTGCAAAGCCCTGTACATGCTGGATTTCAAAAAATGTTTTATAATTGATTTTTGCAAATTTTCTGCTACGGCTCTAAAAGTTTCATCGTAAAATATATTAATTTTAAAGATTTCCTGAAAAAAAATCTTGCTCTAAAATATGCCGGTAGATAACTATAAAAATATTATTAGAAAGAAATTTTAAAACATAAAGCCGGACAGACCTGATGAATGTGAACATTCGTTCGCATTGCGATAAAATATTTCTCAGGTGTGACATGTGATTTCTCAGGTGTGACATTCGCAGCGACTGTATATCACAACGAATGCTTTCCATCTTCTGGCGATAAAAGTGAATAGATCAAAGAAAAACGCTAGCCGCGAATGATTGGAAACGTTGTTATGTGGACGTGTCAGTGAAAAACAGGAAATGGAAATAACTCGAACGGTGGAAATGTTAGCAGATTGGTGTAAATGTGTAATAACAACTAGTAGCAATGCAATAATAGTGCAAATTACTGCAATGAGAACGAATGTAAACGAATGCGAACGAATGGAAACATTCGTCAATTCTGTCCTCGGCTGAAGAATTTATTTATTTTTTATAAACTCGACGTACATTTTCTATTTTTAGGTCCACCACTGGATTCTTATTTCTGCAATATATACCAGTCTATTAATAGTCGAGGGAATAGCTGAAGAAAAAAGTGAAGTAAAACATAGATCTAAAAGATATTTACTATTTCCATATCAAGGAACATTTAAGGTAATGCATGCACACATGAATATACTGAGAGTAATTAATAATTTTACGAGAGATAAATTCAAATAATGTAAATGTTTGACATACTAAAGAGAATAAACAAAACATACCTACACTTGTTATTAAATATATTAGTATTTATTTTAACAATATGTACTTTACATTTGGCGTGTGTTGCTTACTGTATAAATAAGAATACAGTTAGTATATGAAGTATGTCAAAATTATGTTTGAAAATAGATCTCATTCAAGTATTTCCAATTTTTACGCTATGGTCTAGCCTACAATATGTGAAATTATTGAAATTTTTTATACTAAATCTTTGTATATAATCTGCTCAAATTTTCGAAAATGGTTTGGTCTCTTTTTTTCTGTATACAGGGTGATCCGAACTATAATCCGGAAACTTTGATAGCATATTTATTCTGCAGATAAAAATAAGTAAAATAGTTGGTATAAATGTATGTCCTAAAATGTTTAATTTCGGAGATACAGGGTGTAGAAGTTTAATTTTTCTTTCGGGTTTTCCGAAATAATTTATGAAGTAACGTTAATATTTGAATGAAAAGGAGGGAGGTTTTTGACATGAGAAACATTGGCATCAAAATCAAATTTCTCTTTACTTGTAGAGGACGCCACCTGCATTTTTAATTTCTTTTAACTGGTTTGAAAAGTAATAACTTTTCGTCCGTATCTATATAAAACTACAGGGTAAAGAAATATACATTTACGATTTTTTTGCATAAAAATAGGGTCGTGGTAAAAATCGCTACGAGTAATGGTTCTCGAGATATTTGGAATCAAAATTATCAATACTTTCCATCATTGACATACATTAAACATGTTGACTAAATAGTTATTAGACTGAAATCATAAATTTGAAATGCTTTTGTGCCATAAGTTTAACAGAAACTGTTTTATCATCATTTTTTCGCAGAAAAAAATTAAAATTATTTTAAAAATCTCCCAAATTTATTATTTCAGTCAAATAACTATCTACTCAACTTGTATTTTTTCTCAATAATGACATATATTGACTATTTCTATTTTAAATATCTCGAGAACGGTTTTTTTTTGGAGGTGTAAAATACCTTTACGTACGGAGTGTGGGACTCAATCTCTTCTTAAGCTGCCTGGAGGACACTACCCACTAAACATCACCCTCTCGCTCGAGAACGGTTGCTCGTAGCGATTTTTACCAAGACGTATGCAGACTGCAAGAAAACCGCATACCAAAATCTCTGCTTTACGGTGAGCTTGTAGACGGTAATAGGAGGTCGGGTGGACAACTCAAAAGGTTCAAGGATATTTTCCACGAAAACTTAAAGGGAATTAACAAGCCGAATGAGTGGGAAGAGGCAGCTCACAATAGAATGGAATGGAGAAGAATTGTAAAGTCAGTAAACAGCGACAACCAAAAAGTAAAGAGGCAACAAAGCAATGAGATTTTTGAATGTCTGGAGTGCGGTAGACAGATAACATCACGTATCGAGCTTTTTAGTCACAGAAAAGCTCATGAAAGAAAACGCCTTGCGTGACCATCTTCTAATGCGTGTCAAATACTCGTCAGCGAGTAATGGCAGTATGTATGTATGTTTACCAAGGGACATTTTTTGCTTAAAAAATCATGGATATGTACATTTTTTTCACTTAGTAGTTTTATACAGGTACGGACGAAAAGTTGTTACTCTTCAAAACACTTAGAACACATGTAGGTGGCGCCCCGTACAAATAGGATTCATATTGACATCAAAATCAATTTTCTCATGTCAAAAAAACAATTTTCATCCAAATAATGACTTAAAAAAATTATTTGGAAAAAATCGAAATAAAAATGAAATTTCTACACCCTGTATCTCCGACACTAAGCATTTTAGGACATGCATTTATACGAACGTTTTTACTTATTTTTATCAGCAAAATATGCTGCCGAAGTTTCCGGAATACAGTTCGGATAACCTTGTCACGAAATGGCCGACATTGATTCATCCAACTGAAACTGAAATTAAAAAAATATTTTTTCCTGGTTTTTCCATTGTTTTTAAAATACGTTTATTAACAAATTTTGAAAAAATTAGCCCATTGGCAATAAATCTTATAAAGTGTGAGTCGACATGTCGATTTGGCGAATTTTCAAGATTTATTGACTCTGAGCTCATATTGTTGGGATTTCATAATTAATGTATTTGAAAAAAATAACAGGTTAATAACTTATTTTGTATGTTTTACAAAGGAAAAATAAATATATATGAATATTTTTTAAATATTTATTTTAAAAAATTCGGAGACAAACATAAAAAAGGCAAAAACCGTAAAAATCTGAGAAAAATCTTGACGGATATTGAAAATATACTTAAATCCCTATTTATCAGTGCCACTTCCGCAACTCGTGCACCCTGTATCAGTGGAACTGTCAAAATATATTTCAATATCGATGCTGTCGACGAAGGTTTTTAGTCCCGAAGAAGATTTATTTTTTCTCTCCGGGTGACAAATGTACCGTGCAGTGTAACCGCGACAGTTTATGTTGGGGAATCCACCCATCAATTTGGGATATTGTTACGTCGACAGCTAAAGCCTCAGCTGGCTAAGGATCGGACAGCTATTACAAACTGGAAACTTTCACTCTGTCGAGCATACAAAGTTTCATTATCTCTCTTTTTTTCTTTTTTTATATTTAACTAAATAGTTTTTGTCATGGGCGTAGCTAGATTAGGACTTAAGCTTGATTCTCATGCATCCGTTCTCCGACGATACGATGATACGATATTAATTTTATTGGTTGAATATAAATACTTCGATTGGTGAGAAAATTACGCAGTTTTTAATTGCATTTTTATGCCTCTGTTCATCGGATGTACGATTTGCTTCTGATTGATGTCATTTTATATTTTAAGTGCGCATCATATATATTTTCAACGTCTGTTTACTACTGCCGACTGCGCATCACACATTTATTCTGTATTTTAGGAACTAAGGAGGCTAGGACAAACATGTGAAGCATATTTAGTTTCATAAAGAAGTAGCAAAGTAATTTGAAAATCGCCATTATTTTATCTTCACTCCCATACGAGAAATTCAATAAAACACACGAAAATGGGATACTCTATACAGATATGATGCGCAGTAGTAAACCGGCATCGGGAGCCAGACGGCCCTCATTTTGGTCAGGAGAGCATAGAAAAAGATGCATTTAAAGAACCAGGATTCTTAAAATTCTGATTTTCCCGACATTGCTAGCTATTAACTATTATATTTTATTAAGCTTAGATTAAATCTGTCCAAAAAGTGTCAAATGGTTCGTTATCGTATGATCTTTCTCCGTTGACGGGCTGGAATAAAAAATGTACGGATGAAAAGTTGTATGAAAACGCTATGAGCAATCAAAGCGCCGTCGGACCATCGTATCAACGGATAACGGAAGCATGAAAATCAAGCTTTAGCGTAGGGGGAAAAATGTCAAGAGTCTTCTGCTTTAGAGAAATCTGCTTTACCTTATACATTATTAAAAAAAATGTAACTTTATTTTAAAAGTAATCTGCGAATGATGCTAAATCTTGATAAAGTTTCGGTTTCAAATTTATTTTTCGGTTCTCAAAACAATCTGATTTTCATCTACGTGATCTTGGCTATGATTACGTTGGAGCTGTAATAAATAAATCTATGAATAAGTGATAAAAGTGCCGGCTTTATATGAATTAGACCTCTTAAATAACGTATATGGTATATCAAAAGAACCCTTCTTCGATATATATGTTGGATCAATAATATCTACTAATTCTAAGAGTCCTACATGTGTATGAAACCAAAAAATTTTGCTTATATCCTATACCAGATATCTGGAGCAATTAAAATCACTTGGTCTTGTAATCTCTTCCAATGTATAGTCGATAAAGACAAAGAAACCTAAACATTTGTTTTTCGCTGCTCGTATCAATGGGCTACAAAAAAGTAGGGATGTATTAACAGCTTCAACTTAAACACGTGCATACAAAATTTTATATTTTAATTTGTTGCTTTACCAGAATATTTGCTTTTATAGTTTATCAGAACTCCAACATAAACACGGCCATACTCATTTAATGTCAGCATTTTCATCTTTGAACATATCTATTATTATTTTTAAATTCAATAACAATGTGCTCTATTCCACTCAATATTATAGAATCGATATTGGTAGACATAAAAATTATTTTTTTTTAAATTGCTATTTAGTTGAATATTGACGGGAACTACAAGAAATTATGCATGAGGCAGCCAGCTAAGATGGAGCCACTGTCCCACTTTACCCACTGTGCCTATGATGTTTTTGTTGTTTTGTAATTACCACAGTAATAGGAACTACTACAGGAACAGAGAACTGGAAGCAATTGGACCATTGTCTCTGTTCATACTATCTCTGCATTTATTAATTTTAACTCTCTCGTATGCATCGAATTTCCTGTAATTTCAAACTTGTTTAATTAATTTTAAATTATTAATATCTATACAATGCTTTTTTTGGTTTTGACTCGCTTGGCTAGTTTTTCCACGCCTACTCGATACCAACTTAGCGCGTATAAAAACGCTCAATTTGTAGATATTAGTTTAGTTGATGCTAACTTAAAATAGTATAGGCTTTCACGGCCGGTATTATGACTAAAAACGTGCAAGGTATATAAGCTCTTTCCGCTCTCGTCAGTCAGTTTTGAGTAGAGTTCTGAAAGGTTTTTTTCCAAGAGTTATATGTGTTTTATATTTGATTAGTATTGTGTGTATACTCTGCAGTTGAAACATAAATTAGTTAAGTGTTTCATCGCGTGTTTTGAATTAAGGACCCACGTAATCCGTAGCAATATGAAAACAGTTTTAGTCAAAAACGTTTTTAACTAAAACAGTTTTGTTATTTCGGCATGAGTCCAGTCCTAAGGTTGAACAATGAGTCAAAGTAAGGTAATATTTTTAGGGTATTGTATATTTATATGTCTGAAGATAAGTACTGGCTATTGATAAACTATATTTGA